TCTGCATCCCCAGAGCACATCCCACAGCAAGGACAGAGCCCATCCCAGATTAGGAACACTTAATTCTTAAAACCTAAACCCCGGGTGGGCAATAGCAGGGCTGGTTTTCAGCCATCACACAGGGTTTGGTCTCTGTTTCCATTCTCTCAGAACCCAGCAGCAGAAATCACTGGATTTCCAAGAGCCCAAGGAGAATCCCCCTCCCCAGCAGTCACCTGGGCACTGGGATGGGCTCTGCCCCCTCCCCAGCAGTCWCCTGGGCACTGRGAYGGGCTCTGCTCCYTCCCTGTCCTCACCAGGGACAAGCCAGCCCAAACCCCAGCACTGACTGAAGGAGATTTTTTCAACTTCCAAGGTGCAAAAAATTAAGGCACCAAAAAGCCAGGACTCCCCAAGACAAAGCCTGTGCGAAGGAAGCAGTTCCAGGTTTGGAGAGGGACGTTTTTCCACACACCTCGGACAGCTCAGCAGCATCCCAGTCCTCAGGGGCCAGTGACACCCATGGGAAGAGACAGGACAAGGCAAGTGCCAGGTTTGGGAGCCCAGAGTTCAGCTGGAGGCCTGAGGGAACAGCTCAGCTCTTCCCTGGTTGGGCAAACACAAAATGAGACAGAAAATCATCCAACATCCACATTTTCCAGTGTTGTCAGCCCAGCTCTGCTATCTGAACATGTCCCACAGAAGTTGTGTCCCAGCTGAAAATTCCCTCTAATTCCTGTGGAGCAGGACCTGCATTTATCTCCATAATTCTATTCCACGAAATAGCAGGAGACAAAAATTCAAGTGCAGCCCAAGTCATTTGTCCATGGAGGTTTTTTTCTGCTGTACAACATCAGTAAAATGGATTGAGGAAGCTACTTTATTAAATAAACTCTGAAACCCATCCGCCCCCTCTCCGGCCCCGCCGCAGCCGCACGGACGCGTGAGCACACGGAGATTTGGAGCCTCCCACGATGAGGACAGCCCTGGGAAGGGCCCAGTTTGTCCTTGCAGGCCGTACCATGACCAGGGACTGACCAAGGGCTGCCCATGAGCTGCCCAGGGCTGACCAAGCAACCCACGAACTCAYGAGCTCAACCTCAGGGTTTCCAGTTTCATCAGCATGACAGTGATTCCAATTTCCAAAAGAAAAAGCATTAAATAGCAGTTACACGTTGAAGGCTTCCCAGAGCAGGAGGAGGCTTCCCCTGCAGCAGGAAATTGCTCTGAGCAAGCTGTGATGCCCCACGTTGCACAACAATCAAGCGTCTGAAGGACTTTGTTCCCATGGTCGCTCCTTCCACCTGCACGATCGGCTGTGCTTGTTCGCTTCCGGATGCAGCCTTTCCAGAGCCTGGCTTTAAGCTACACTCTTCATTCAAGCACAGGTCTTCAATTGAATCAAGCCAACAGGAAAGAAAATCAGCATTCAGTCTTCACCACCCCACTCGAAAACTCAAATTATAAAAACAAATTAAAAAATAAAATCAACGCAAACTCRTCTTGGATAAGCGGACAGTAAACGAAGAGATGGCTGGATGAGACACGCGGCCGCTGGGGACACAGAGAGGGAGATGTGCAAAGGTTCCCACAAACACCCCAGGAGCTCCTGAAGGTGCACACAGGACTGACACGGGGCTGCAGGAGCTTCTCCCAGTGCTGGAATTGCTGTTGGGAAGGGCCAGGCTGCTCCTGGCTGTGCAAGAGGGGCTCAGGCAGCAGGAAAGGACCCAMGGAGCTGACCCACAACAGCAAATCCATGCTGGCAGGAATGGGGAGAGCCTGGCTCTGTGGTCTCAGCCATAGCCCAGACCCCAATCCCAGACTGGGAACGCACATGGGAACACAGGAACACGTTGAGATGCGGTCCCAGGTACCACGAAATGCACAGGAGCCACATTCCCACTCCTACAGCAAACTCAGTCCTGATTTTCCGAGTCCCCCAATTAGAATTTTGAGCGTCTCGTCCTTTTTTCTTCCCCCTTTAAAAAAAAAAAAAAAACCAAACCAACGAAGGTGCAAGTATTTGCCCAAATCCAGAAGGCAGGACAGAATGTGGGGGAACTGTCACCATCTGCTCCCCAAGTGGCAGCCCAGCACAGGGACTGTCCAGCAGGACTGGGGACAGCCAGGAACTCCCCTGGACCGCCAGGATGTGCCCCCGCCCTCGGAGGAATCAGCTGCGTTGGTTTTGGTGGCAGGCCGAAGTGCTTTGCTCAGGTAAAGCCTTTGCATCCCCAAGCAGCTTTCCCTGAGCAAGGGCCGGAGTCTGAGGCTTCTCTGGGAACATTCAGCTGGTCTAAGGTACAGTAACAGTGACCCAAAAGGCTCCTCCTCCTCCGGCTCCACCCAAAACCCGGTGCTTGCGGGATGGAAGAGCGGCTGCGGCGGATCCCGCGTGTCCTTGGCCCTGTCCCGAGGATAGTTTGGATCTGTGGTGATGGCTGAAGTATTTACAGGTATTTGCAGCAGGTATTTACAGTCCTTCTGCAGCCCGCAGGCCGATCTTCTCCTCCTCTGCTCCCAGTCAGTCCGGAGTGGGCTTCCGCAGGGAGAAGGGCCGGATGTTGAAGTGCCTGCTCAGCTGGCTCACCTGGGGACGAGGTGGACATGGCATGGGGTTATTCCAGATCCTGGGGGTTATCCCGGATCCTGGGGCTTATCCTGGATCCTGAGGGTTATGCCGGCTCCTGGGGGTTATCCCGACTCTTGGGGGTTATCCTGGTTCCTGGGGGTTATCCTGGCTCCCAGGGGTTATCCCGATTTTTGGGGGTTATCGCGGATCCTGGGGGTTATCCCGGCTCCCAGGGGTTTTATCCCAACTCTTGGGGGTTATCCCAGATCCTGGGGGTTATCCCTGCTCCCAGGGGTTTTATCCCGACTCTTGGGGGTTATCCCGGCTCCCAGGGGTTTTATCCCGACTCTTGGGGGTTATCCCGGCTCCCAGGGGTTTTATCCCGACTCTTGGGGGTTATCCCAGACCCCATGGGGTTATCCCTGCTCCTGGGGGGTTATCCCAGGGGTTATCCCAGCTCCCGGGAGTTGTCCTGGCTCCCAGGGCATTATCCATGACCCCATGGGGTTATCCCGGCTGCTGGGGGTTTATCCTGACTCTTAGGGGTTATCCCGGACCCCATGGGGTTATCCCGGCTCCCGAGGGGTTATCCTGACTCTTGGGGGTTATCCCGGATCCTGGGGGTTATCCCAACTCTTGGGAGTTATCCCAGATCCCAGGGGTTATCCTGGCTCCCAGGGGTTATCCCAGATCCTGGGGGTTATCCCAGATTCCATGGGGTTATCCCTGCTCCCGGGGGGTTATCCCAGGGATTATCCCAGCTCCCGGGGGTTGTCCTGGCTCTCATGGGGTTATCCCGACTCTTGCGGGTTATCCTGGATCCTGGGGGCTGTCCTGGTTCCCGGGGCTTATCCCAACTCTTGGGGGTTATCCCAGCTGCCAGGGGTTATCCCAGCTGCCAGGGGGTTATCCCAGCTCCCGTGGGGTTATCCCGACTCTTGGGGGTTATCCTGGATCCTGGGGGTTATCCCAGCTCCCAGGGGGTTATCCCAGCTCCCAGGGGGTTATCCTGCACCCCGGACAGTTACCCCGGCTCCCAGAGGTTATCCCGACTCTTGGGGGTTATCCCAGACCCCAGGAGTTATTCCAGCTGCCGGGGCATTATCTCGGCTCCCAGGGGTTATCCCGGCTGCCAGGGGTTATCCTGGTTCCCATGGGGTTATTCCACTGCCAGGGGTTATCCCAAATCCCAGTGGTTATCCCGGATCCCGGGGGCTATCCCGGACACCATGGGGCTATCCCGGGTCCCATGGGGCTATCCCGGATCCCACAGGGCTATCTCAGACCCCATGGGGCTATCCTGGGTCCCAGGAGCTATCTCAGATCACATGGGGCTATCCTGGATCCCGGAGATTATCCCGGCTCCCAGGGGTTATCCCGGCTCCCAGGGATGAGCAGGGGAGCAGGCAGAGCCCAGCCCTGCCCCCTGTTCCCACCAAGCCCCTGCCACCCCCTTTGCCCACTCTGCCCACCCCTCTCCAGCCCTGTCCCATCCCTGTCCCCATCCCTGTCCCTGTCCCCAGGCACTGGCTCCACAGAGAGCAACCCTGCTCCCTCCCCACACCTTCCCAAACAACAGCCTGCGCTCCCTGGGAAGGGGCTGACTTCCATCTGCCCTCCACAGGGGCAGGAGTCGGGAATGCTGAGCCAAGGCCTGCAGGATTTTACCCTGCTCCTTTATTATTTTATTTAAATTAATTTCATCACCTCAGGTATCGCTATAAAATACTCCTGAATCAATTCAAAGCAGGAGCTGAATAATTTACTTCCTGCAAAAGGAGGCTGAGCTGGGCAGAGGCTTTATTTATTCCTAACCATTCTTCCCAAATTCAAAGCAGTTTGGGATTATGCCCCAATCCCAAAACTTTAAAGGCTTTTCAGCTCAAAAGACTTTTCTCCGGAAGAGGAGTGGGCACAGATGGGCCCCTGGAAAGCCAGAGGGAGGGAAGGAGGGAACAGGACACTGGGAAGCTCCCGGGAGGGGATGGGCAGGAGGATTACACCACCTGCTCAGCCCCATCTCCAGCTGTGACTCCAAGAACAAATTTATTTAAGCTTCTTAGTAATTCAAATCCTTCTTGCTCAGAAGCCTCATTACACTAATTGGAAAGACAAGGCAACCTGGCTATTACTCCTTGGCTGTAATTACAGCTGGGACTCGACTCTGGAGGCTCCAGGGCAGAGCTGGGGCTCCCAGGGGAAGGGGCTTCCCAAGGAGGGTAGTCCCTTGTCCTCTTTTCTCAGCAGCTTCCCAGGGCATTCCTGATGGGATTCTCAGCTTCTCCAAGTTTTTGTTCTCTGTCTTAATCAAAACTCAGGCAGAGCACGAGGAGGAAACCAATCCCTGCTTGATCCTGCACAGCCCTCACAGCAGGACAGGCCCTGGAGGGAACTGCAGGGACATGCCCAGGAACATCCCCACTCCATCCTAGCTCTGCCAGCGCCTTGGAGACCTCAGTGAGAGAGCTCAGAGCCCCTGCCAGGGCCTAAAGGGGCTCCAGGAGAGCTGGAGAGGGACTGGGGACAAGGGATGGAGGGACAGGACACAGGGAATGGGGTCACACTGCCAGAGGGCAGGGATGGATGGGATATTGGGCAGGAATTGTTCCCTGGAGGGTGGGCAGGCGCTGGCACAGGGTGCCCAGAGAAGCTGTGGCTGCCCCTGGCAGTGCCCAAGGCCGGGCTGGACATTGGGGCACCCTGGGACAGTGGGAGGTGTCCCTGCCATTGCAGGGGTGGGACTGGATGAGCTTTGAGGTCTCTCCCAACCCAAACCATTCCCTGATTGTTCAGCTGACACACCCCAGGAAGGACAGCCCCTGTCACATCCTGTACAGCTCCTTTCAAACCCGTTCAGCCTTCCCAAGCCGTCCCAAGGAATCCAGCCCAGACTCCAGGGGCTCACGGGAACAGCACAGAGCCATTCCCAGTGACACTCCCAGTCCCATACAAAGCATCCCCTGCCCCAAGCAGCATCACCCCAGCCCTGCAGCGGGGTCACCTACCACGACCACTCCGTAGTGGATGTGTGCCARGGTGAGGAAGGCAGTCAGCAGGTACAGCAGGAGCGTTTCACTGCCCGGAGCCAGCCCGGACAGCACCAGGAGCAGCGCGGCTGCGATGGGGAGCAGCATCCAGTTGAGGGGCTGGCACCGAGTGCTGCTCATCTGGCACACGATCAGCTGGCACTGAGGGGACAGGGACAGAGCCTGAGCCTGGTGTGGGTTCTGAGAGCTGCAGCTGTTTGTCCCTAGGGCACAGGGCACGGTCATTGGTGTGATCTGGCACACTGTCCCTGTGCTGGCACTGCTGCGGCACCTCCAGTGCTGGGGGCAGCTCTGGGCCCCTCCTGACCAGAGAGCCCTGGAGGGGCTGGAGTGTGTCCAGGGCAGGGAACAGAGCTGTGGAAGGGTTTGGAGCCCCAGGAGCAGCTGAGGGCGCTGGGAAAGGGGCTCAGCCTGGAGCAAAGGAGGCTCTGGGGGGACCTTGTGGCTCTGCACAACTTCCTGACAGGAGGGGACAGCTGGGGGGGTCGGACTCTGCTCCAGGGAACAGGGACAGGAGGAGAGGGAACGGCCTCAGGCTGGGCCAGGGCAGGCTCAGGTTGGATATTGGGAACAATTCCTTCCTGAAAAGGGCTGTTAAATATTGGAACACGCTCAGGGAGGTGGTGGAGTCCCATCTCTGGAGGGATTTAAAGGCCACTGGATGTGGCATTTGGGGACATGGGGCAGTGGTGGCCTTGGCAGTGCTGGGGGACAGTTGGACTCCATGGTCTCCAAGGGATTTCCCAACCATGATTCTACAAATATGCAGTTAAATTGAGTTTTGACCAAAAATTAAGTCCCTCCCATTTTAAATTTATCCCCAAAAGGGGGCAGGAGCTCCTTTCCCATCAGCACATGTAAAAACACCCAATTTAACCAATTCTCCTGCTCAAGCACAAAGCAGAAGCTCTTACAGAGATGTTGGCGAAAGCTGTTCCAACCATGAAGTAGAAGAGCCTGGGCTGGACCTCCAGGATGTCAGTGGGGGACAGGAAGACCCAGGCAGTGCAGAGCAGGAACAGCAACACCGGGGACACGAGGGGCAGCAGGATTTCRTACACAGAGTGGTGCTTCAAGGTGTTATTTTTATAGGCCCTGAAATACAAGCAGAGAAATTAAAATACATGGAATCACTGAGAAATCTCTTTGTTTACCCAGGTCTTGMCTGCAGTAAAGYACTGAAGKKGTTCCARGAGAGCTGGGGACGGACTTGAGGACAAGGAGAATGTGTTCCCCAGGGCAAAGGGCAGGGTTGGATGGGATATTGGGCAGGAATTWTTCCCTGGGAGGTGGGGAGGCCCTGGCACAGGGTGCCCAGAGAAGCTGTGGCTGYCCCTGGATCCCTGGCAGTGCCCAAGGCCAGGCTGGACATTGGGTCTTGGAGCACCCTGGGATGGTAGAAGCTCTCAAGGTTGGGACTGGATCATCTTTCAGGTCCCTTCCCACCTGAACCGCCTGGGATTGCACAAACTCACTTGTAGAAGTTGTACAGGCTCATGGGCAGGGTCACAGTGAGGGCACAGGCTGCAAAAGAAAAGCTCCACGTTAGTGCCCCAGGGCAGAGGGGACGCCCTGAGCACCCCGAGCAGGCAGCTCTGGCTGGGCTCTGCTTTWAGTTCCCCGAACCAAAAATAGCTCYGAGGGTGCCCCAGGAATAGCTCAGCACGTTTGGAAGTAGCTGCTCCCAAATCTGGCCCAAGAGCTGTAATTAAAAGTTAWGGTCTGCTGTAAATTGAAGACATTTCCATTTGAAAGAGCTCGGCTTTGTGCTTTAAACAGTGACAAAGTTTAATTATAAAACAACTCTAATGAGACATGAGGTGAGTGCACACTCCTCAAGTGACATGGCTGGGCACAAAAGTTGTCACAATAAAGGCAATTTGCTGTTCCTCTGGCTGTGTGCAAACATTTCCAGCGCCTACAGTGCCAAAAAGTTGTCATTTCACTGGATAAATGACACAAAGTGCCCAAATTACTGAAAAATCCTGACCTCGATCAGAACCACAACACTATCTGTGATATTCCAGCACAACTCCTTCGCTGTTTACCCAGCAGAAGGTGTGTAAACAGAGCTGGAAATATTCCTGCTGTAATAACCCAGCTCCTCTCCCCCGTGTGGGAATTGAGCTTCATTGCTCACACAGGAAAAGCACTCTCATTATTCATGTTAAGTCACACAGCTGTCAAAGGAAAGCTGGGAACATCCACCTGATAAAAGTGTGAGAAGTAGATTTAACACACCAATTAACTGGAAATGAAGCAATTACAGAGAACACCTGAAGAGACACAGAAAATAAACGGAGCAGAACTTGCGAATTGGGAAAATGGCATTAAAAAAACATCAGCTCGACTCTGCCCTTTTCAGTGACTTATTTTGATTGACCACATAAAAGCAATGCTGGGCCTTTATTTCAATTTTATTATTATTGTGATGATGTAATGTTTAGGTGGGTGGATGGAGGGCAGGATCCCCGAACAGCAAAGCTCCCACCCACCTCCATGGCTGCAACCTCCCTCCCACGCAGTGTTTGGGCTCTGGGATGAGAAGGAGCCCCAGAGCAGCAAAACAAAAGAGTCCTGACCCCCCCAAAACCAGTTCAAGGCTGGGGAGGCTCCACTGAAAGCCAGGGCCCACCATCCCTTGCACACTGGGCTTTACCCCCTGRAAACTCCGGGTTTATCAAACCGGTTTTATCCCCAGGCTCTCACTGAAAACAAACTGAGCTTCCCCGGAGTGAAATCAGCCCAGGCAGAGCGGAGTTAAGTTCTCCAAAATAACTCTGCAGGAGACAGGCCTGTTTTGAAACGCTGAGAATTTCAGGCTGTGAGAACACCCGCAATTAGTCACTTCAACAACAGCCCGGGGCGACAAACAGAGCAGTGTTAGCAGGTCATTAGCAGGGGGTTTGGGAAAAAAGGGGCAGTTTAAAAGACAGGCTTCAACATGGAGTTTCTTACCAATAATCATTGCAGTGAATAGGTCTCTATATAAGAAATTAAACAGGAAAGGTGCATACCAGGCCTCAACTCCCACAAAGGCTGTCACTATGTAGACAATTGAAATGGTCTGAAAGAAAGCACAGGACAAGCAGGGGTGAGAAACGAGATGGGCAAGGCTGGCAGGACCTCTCTGGCAGCCCACACATGTGCCAGGCAGCTCCAAGCTAYGACATGCTCAGTCCTACCCACCAGCAGGAAGGAGAAAAATAAAACAAATCCACAAATATCCCACGTTACCAGATGTAGGAAGTGTGAGCTGCTGAGCAGGGATTGGGTTGGGCAGTGCCCGTCCCCTCCAGTGCTGGGGGCAGCTCTGGGCCCCTCCTGACMAGAGAGCCCTGGAGGGRCTGGAGYGTGTCCAGAGCAGGGAACGGAGCTGKGGAAGGGKYTGGAGCCCCAGGAGTGGCTGAGGGAGCTGGGAAAGGGRCTCAGCCTGGAGCAAAGGARGCTCCRGGGGGACCYTGTGGCTCTGCACAACTCCCTGACAGGAGGGGACAGCCGGGGGGGTCGGGYTCTGCTCCAGGGAACAGGGACAGGAGRAGAGGGAACGGCCTCAGGCTGGGCCAGGGCAGGCTCAGGKTGGRCACCAGGAGGAATTTCTGCATGGAAAGGRTGGTCAAGCCTTRGCCTTGGTGGAATCACATCCTTGGAGAAATATAAAAACCATGTGGACATGGGTCAGTGGTAGCCTTGGCACTGCTGAGGGCATGGCCAGACTCGATGGTCTCAGAGGRTTTTTCCAAMCTCAAGGATTCCATRAGGAGGGTATGACCAGGACCTGCAGGAGGAACACCCTGGCACAGTTTGAACTCTCGAGGTGACCAAAGCACAGGTTTCACACAAGTTGCAGTGACCCTGCAGGGGTCACTCGGGGACTCTTCCTTATCCAACGGCTGCTGGATTACAGGGAGAAGCTCACCAGGGCTAYTTCAGCTCTAACAGTCCCCTGAAGCTGGGTGGAACATGCTGCAGGGGAGCTCTGCCCTCCACCCCTGCCTTTCTCCAGCAGGCAGCTCAAAGACCTGGGTTAAGCAACATTGTGGGAGAAAGGATCAGAGTACAGTCTGGGACCAGCTCTGGTCTCCTTTTAGCAGGAGACATKACTATTCYAATTAATGCAGCTGCATTAATTGAACTCTCCTTCCTAATTGTTGCATTTCCCRCCCAGCACCTGACATCCAGAAGATAAAAGAATTGATGTAAGATAATGAGATATAAGGAAGATGCTTTTTTACAATGAGGGTGGTTGCCCAGAGAARCTGTGGCTGCTCTGTCCCTGGAACTGTCCAAGGCCAGGCTGGACAAAGCTTGGAGCACCCTGGGCTGGAAAAAGGCATTGCCAGAAATCCAGGTGAGCTGCCTCATCCCCAGCTCCCAGATCTCTTTGGGAAGAGCTTCCTGCAGAGAATTCCTTAAGGAGGGATGGACACACCAACATTCCAAGGGGTCCATCACCATCAATGTCAACAGGCCCAGAGGRGCAGGAATATTTGCTCCAGGAAGAGCAATTAACAAGTCAATTAACTCCGCTGAGTTTTTGGCCTAGATCCTGGCAGTGCCAAAGGCATCCCAAATTTCCAGGCAGCAATTTACCCACACTGGTAGAATGTAGGGAACTACTTGAAGCAACAATTCCAGTGGGCAAAGCACGCAGGGAGCAGGGATTGCCAAGACAATGCCCACCCTTGAAGCCTTGTTTTTCGTGGAGAGTCCATCTCCACGGACTGATTCCATCATTTACAAGGCTCTGGAGGCACAGTGAACACCTCTCATTGGGCAGCGCTGCACCCAGCAGCTTCTCAGGCCATGCACTTACCACCTGGCTGATGTCATATCCCCAGGGCAGGAAGAGAATCCCTGTGTTATACTTCTCCCAGTGGGAGAGGATGAAGGAAAACAAGACCACCCACAGCAGGAGGTAGAGCACGAAGACGCTGACGCCGGTGGAGCCGCGGCCAAAGGTGGAGTACACGGTGACCACGAAGTAAACACAGGCCCAACTGTCCAGGCCGTGGTCAAACAGCTCGCCCAGGGGGGTGCTGGAGTTGGTCCGGCGTGCTTGCTTCCCATCAACACCATCTGGAAACGGGGGAGCAAACAGGGAGCTTTACTGGATACTCCACACACAAAGCAGTGGGCCAGGAACAGCAGATTTCCCCAACTCCATCCTCAAACTGGGAGTGGGTTCCCACCCCCTGCTCCAGGGGAGGCTGAGAAATGCAACAGTCTGAGGGGATTGTATTTATTTCCTTTGACTTCCTTTATATTCCTTAAAACAGCTTCTTCCTGTGCCTAAGGGAGATCCAGGAGAGCTGGAGAGGGACTTGGGACAAGGGCCTGGAGGGACAGGACACAGGGAATGGCTTCAAAGCGGAAAAGGGGAATTTGGGTGAGATATTGGGAAGGAATTGTTCCCTGTGAGGGCAGGAAGGCCCTGGCACAGGGTGCCCAGAGAAGCTGTGGCTGCCCCTGGATCCCTGGCAGTGCCCAAGGTCAGGCTGGACATTGGGGCTTGGACCACCCTGAAACAGTGGAAAGTATCCCTGCCCAGGGTAGGGGGTGGAACTGGAAGATCTTGCAGGTCCCTTCCCACCCAAACCATTCTGGGATTCTCTGATTATTTACATCAGACCAAAGACAGAGTTTCAGAGTTCATCTCAAAGTCAGTTCCAGTGTCCTCCTTTCCTATCAGCTGCTCTGGGACAACTTCCTTCTCTCCACGCTGCAAAGCAGCTCCCAGAAACTGCTCCTGGCAGGAGCACAGAATCAAACACTTCCCGTGGGCTCAGAGAGGGGACAACGCAGCCACAGCATGAGTGGGTGACCCCAAACCCCCAGGGAAACTCTTACCTAATGTGTAGGCCATGAAATTGAGGAGCCCCACCACGATCCACACTCCATTYGGAACATGCTGATGATCAGGAGCTGCAGGGATCAGACAGACCCGAGTCAGGACAGCTCAGCAGGTRCTTCCAGAGGGTTTATTTTGGCCCAAGAGGCACAGCCACGAGGACTCAAACAGTCAATCTGGGATGTGAACTTTGCAGGATGTGATGGCAGAGCTGCCCCACAACAGCCCGTGAAACCAGGTCAACGAGGACTTTGCCTTTCAGGATGTGTTTGTCCTTTGTCCCCAAAACTCATGGGATCTGAGAATCAGGGCCAGTTCTGCAGTGCCACTGCAGGCCATGAAAGTGTGTGCAGAGGACACTCCTCAATCACTTGCCCAAAGTGGAGCCTCTTTGATGTGGCAACTGCCTGCCCCCGCAGGAACATGCCAGGATTCCCCGCCCAGTCTCCAGTCCCATCCTGCCAATGGAAATTCAGCTCTTCYTTAATAGCACCTCCACCTCCTCCAGCACGGCTGGGCATGGAGCCAGCCCAGCTGGCTGTGAGCAGGGAGCCCAAACTGGCACTGRGAACTGGCACAAAGAGGCATGGATCCTTGGCAGCAGGAGGGCACAGGGAGCTCTCYTGGGGGAACAATGATCCTGTGAAATGCCACCTCCTGTTTCCTCGGGGCAGCAGGATGGTGCCTTTYCAGCAGTAGAGGGATGGAGGGCATCACATCTGCAAAGCCATCTGAGGAGGGAGGGCACAAAATTCTGGGGGTCTTCCAAGCAGGACATGCAGAAGTTGTATGTGAAAGGGTCCCAAATCATGAGCTTCTTCATCCTTCCAAAGCCAGGTTTTGAGAGGTTGGGAGAGCTGGTGATGTCCAGCCCAGAGAAGGCTCCAGGGAGCCCTCAGAGCTCCTTTCACAGCCTGAAGAGGCTCCAGGAGAGCTGGAGAGGGACTGGGGACAAGGGATGGAGGGACAGGACACAGGGAATGGGGTCACACTGCCAGAGGGCAGGGATGGATGGGATATTGGGCAGGAATTGCTCCATGGGAGGGTGGGCAGCCCTGGCACAGGGTGCCCAGAGAAGCTGTGGCTGCCCCTGGATCCCTGGCAGTGTCCAAGGCCAGGCTGGACATTGGGCTGGGAGCACCCTGGGACAGTGGAAGATGTCCCCACCCATGGCAGGGGTGGCATTGGAAGGGCTTTGAGGTCCCTTCAACCCACACCATTCTGGGTTTCCATGATTCTGATGTCCTGGGGTTTTTCATCCTGAGCTACTGACAGCTTTTCTTCCCATGGCTCATGGACCATAACAGCCCAAATCCTGGCCAACAGCCATGGGTGCCAGCTGAGCCTTCAACAGCCTGGAATTGGCTACCAACAAAGGAAATCCCAAAACAAAACAGGACTTTTCTCACATAACAGTGTTTTGATGATGGGTCCAGTTTAGAAGAACCACACGAACTCTCCTGAACAACTTTAACCAGACCAGGCAGGACTAAGGGGGATAAAAACAGAGGGAGAAGCTCTTGAGAATTATCACACTGCATGAATCCTTTCCTTGGGACTCCTCCATGTGTGAAGGGACACAACTGAACCATTGGATTCACAGACAGATGAACACAGGGACTGTTAGAAAGTTTAAAGCTGTGAATGGTGAAGCTCAGAAAGCGGATTTGACCTTGTTAGTTTGATGTGGTGGTGGTTTTACCAAGCGGAGAACGAGCTGGGATATGAAGAACAAGGCTTTTCCTGCAGATTTCAGGGAAGCAGCCTTTCCTAACATATTCCTGTTAAGATTTTCAAACAAGGGCACTGGGTTGCTTGCTCTGCAGGCAGAACCAATTCTGACCCAAGATTCCAGCTATTTCCTCCTCCCTCTCCCACCYGCTGCCAGCCAGGAGCACAATCCCCTGGCAGCCAGAGGGAAGGTGTAACACCCAGACAAATCTTTGTCACAAAACACAGCAAATTCAACCCTCTCCTCTGTCCCAGTAACTTTGGGAGGGCCCAGAGGCCTCACTGGGATTCCCAGAAGAGGAGGTGACTGATTTCCCACCTGCCCAGGAACATGCAGCCTTACCAGAAGCATAAAAGTCAGGGTCGAAGTATGCCATGAGGAAGAAGTTGAAGACAAGCAGCAGGAAGCCAGAAAACGTTATCAAATTTGGGGCCAGCCAGGTAGGGAAGATCTATGGGAAAGCAGCAAAAGAACAGATGAACTCATTAAAATGTGGATTCATTAAAATGCAGCTGCACCGTCTGGGTGTTAAACACTGCCAGGAGCAGCCAGAGCGTGCTGGGGCAGCAGGAGGCTTTGGGGTGGGATGCAGGGATTCAGGAGTTTGGGGATTCAGGGATTCAGGAATTCACGACAGGCTGCAGGCAGCCCCTCACTCATTAGTGGCACCACAAAGGAAGCAGCTGATGGTGTGACAGAGGTGACCTGGGCTGTGCCATCCTGCTCAGGACAGGACAGGGACTCACCTTCACAATGGCATTCCAGAAGGGATGCATGACGTACAGGGACAGGGGRTTGCTGTCCACGGCGCTGTACTGGGAACAGGAAACAAAACCCAACAGTTAGGGCTAGAGCAGCTCTTGGAAAAAGGCAGAATCTGGAACTTTCTGAGCCCCATCCTGTGTGGAATCCCCATGGGACTCTCAATGTACCCCCACCAATCCTCCACCCTTTGGAAATGCCAGCTCCAGCTCTCTGAATGGACACTGGCAAGGAGCAAGATGCTGATCCTCCCAACTGCTTCCAACTGCTCTGCCCCACCTGGATATGGGGAAAAGCTGTGGGTGCTACCCCCCAACTGCTGTGATCCCTTTGCTCCCTTGCTGGTCCAACTCTCCATCCCCATTTCCAGCCGTGGGACTGAGAGTCCTTTGTGCAGGATGGGTCTCAGAGGRCTCCTCTCCACYGAGGAGCTGAGATTTCACCAGAGGMWGTTTAGRGAATGAGKAGGGAGAGCTCTGAYCCCTCAYTGCRCCACTTCTACAACATCTGAGGTGCTCAGGGTGTGTTTGTGGTGGGGGAAATAAAAATAGAAATAAAGATCCAGACAAGGCATGAAACAACTTTCAGCTAGAAAGTTAAAATTTGACATCATTTGGCTCTGGAGAGCAGCACGAGCTGTTATCTGCTCTCACAGCCCCYTCCAAGCACAAATTACCCTGGCTAAAGTCCTCTTCTCCCAGGAGCACTTTGATAAGAATCCCAAGAACAATTCCACAGGGTACAGAACTCCTGGACTCAGGCACTCGGTGCTGGGCTGGGCAGAACCTGCTTGGGACAACAGCCCCAGCTCCCAGCACAGGCACCTGCCTGACTCCAATCCCAACCACAGAATCCCAGAGGGGTTTATGTGGGAAGGAACCTTCCAGAAACTCCAGTGCCACCTCATGCCTTGGGCAGGGACATTTTCCACTATCCCAGGGTGCTCCAAGCCCCATCCAACCTGGCCTTGGACACTGCCAGGGATGGAAGTCACAGATTCTCTGGGTACCCTGTGCCAGGGCCTCATCACTATCACAGGGAGGAATTCCTTCCCAATATCCCAATTACACAGATCTCCCCTTTCCACTTTGAAGCCATTCCCTGTGTCCTGCTCCTCCATCCCTTGTCCCCAGTCCCTCTCCAGCTCTCCTGGAGCCCCTTTAGGCCCCAAAAGGGGCTCTGAGCTCTCCCTGGATCCTTCTCTTCTCCAGGTGAGCACCCCCAGCTCTCCCAGCCTGGCTCCAGAGCAGAGGGGCTCCAGCCCTGGGAGCAGCTACAGAGCCTCCTATAAACTCATTCCAACAGGTCCCAAATTTGGTTTGGTTGACAAAAGGAAACCCCTCAGCCAAGAGCAGCTCCAGTTACCCCTCCTCCCCATCACTGCACCCATGGATTGCTCCAAGCTGCTCCTCTCCTTTGCTGCACACCCCACYTTTCCCAGAAAGCAGAGAAGTGATGGGAAAGGGAAAGGAACACAMCCCGAGACAGCACCAGGACCAGGAAGACACCAGGTCTCAGCATTTATTCCCACCTGGGTGAATCCCATCCTCAGCACGGATTTCTGTACCCACTCCCAGCCCTTCCCTGCCCTCCCTGTGCAGGGTCAGTCCAGCTCCTTGCAATTCAGCCCAGAGGTTGCAAAGCCACACCAGCAAAGCCACAGGAGCAGCAGAACAAGCAGCAACAAACACCGAAGCGAAGCCGTATGGAGGCAACGTCTAAGCCGCAAGGAATTTCCATCCCAGCTTAATGCAATTTTGGGGGGCACAATTCCAAATGCTTTACAAGATAATAGGATTTGAAGCACCAGTTAGGGRAGGAGGAGAGACTGATTTAATCTCATTATCCCCAAAACAGCCTGGAACAAGAAAACAGATGCAAGGCTTGGAGCAAGGCAGGGGAAACGCTCTGGAGCCTCTGTGGTTGGACGGGATCTCAAGGAAGTTTCACCAGGTTTGTGGCTCGAGAATTTTTCCTCTCTCCCTGCAAAGACTGGGGATAAAAGTCAATAAAGAGCTTTTCCCCATGGCCACACACATTCCCACCTTGCTGGCAGAACTCAAAGACCTGGAAATCGCCATTTCTCAGGAGAAAGGGCAGCTGCTCTGCAGAGGTTTGCTGATACAACCATAGAATCAGGGAATATCTTGGGTTGGAAGGGACACAGAGGGATCACAGAGTTCAGCTCCCGGCCCTGCACAGACACCCCAACAATCCCACCCTGTGCATCCCTGGCAGCACTGTCCAAACACTCCTGGAGCTCTCATTCCCTGCAGAGCTTGGGCAGTGCCCAGCACCCTTTTCCTGATGTCCACCCCAACCGCCTGGCCCAGCCCTAGCCATTGCCTCAGGTCCTGTCAGGTCACAGAGAACAGAGTACCCCTCAGGAGGAGTCTGTTGACATCCATGAAGTCTCCCCGTGGTCTCTTGTGTGACCCCTCCAGTCCCTTCCCCATGTCTGTGACCCTCTCCCTGCTTTAGATCCATCCTAAACCCCCCCAGCACCTGCCAGGCTCCAACCAGGGCACTTCTTTGTGTGCTGAGCAAGGCCAGCGATGCTGTGCCCACTGTAGGGACACCCTGGGGCACAGGGACAGAAYCAGGGCTGGCTCTGGTGCCAGGCTGGCTGCCACCCTCGGGGACAYGGCTGCCTGCCCAGGACAGCCACCCCCAGAATACCAATGAGCTGCCAGGCATCTTCAGGGACAAATCCCAAGAGTGTTTTGGYCATGCCCAGCCCCTCCTGGGTGCTTTTCCTTGTTGGGGTCTTCCCTACAAACATTACTAAAGTTGTCTCTCCCACCTCTTCATCTGTGAGGCCCCAAATCTGTCATTGTTTGAGCTTAGCACTGCTCTATCATTCCCTCACCTCATCCTTGCTGAAAATTAGTGACAACTGCATTTTGGATCTCCACACATTGGTCTAGTGACTGAGATCCTTCTACAAGTCCTTTTATCGGGACCAATGACTCCCACCAGCCTGGACTCTGTATTTCTGCCTCTTTTTCAGGGAAAGAAGGTCATAGGAAAAGGAGAAGTGCTCAGAAGGAATTTCATACAGCCCAGAATCTCCTTCCCAAAGCAGCCAGGCATTCATAAAGGGCCCTGCTGTATAACAGCTCCGTGTTCACAGAGGGCTTCTCCTCACAGCTGCAGGGAGGAGCCAATCCAACCCAGACAGCTCCCTCAGGATCGTGGTCAGAACTCCTTAGGGAAAAAGCAAAAYCAGCAGAACAATCTTATCACTGGCACCACCCAGGAGCCTCCTGTCCATGCCAGGATGGCTCCAGGGAGCCACAGGTATCCCGAGAGCTGGGGATGGGGCTGGTGGCTGCGGTGCCATCGCAGAYGAGCTGGCTGGCGTTGTTATGGGATTTACAGACACAAATGGCTTGTATGGCTTYGACCCAACATTCATCGTGCAACCAGGACGCCTCTGGGAGATCTAATTATGCATCCAAAGAGGAAAAAAATACAGATTTATAGCCCAGATTCTACTAATGGCCTTCCTGTCCCGGAAAAAACAATTCCACATTGAAGTAATCTGGTTAGCCGGAGCCAGGGGCAGAGCAAGCACTGTCAGAGAATCCTGGAATATCCTAAGATGGGAGGGGGTCATCGAGTCCAGCTCCTGGCCCTGYAGAGGACATGCCAAGATTCATACCATCACCACTGTCTGGGCACACCAGTGGTGGGTGTGACACAACCAGGTGGGCTGGGCACAGGGATCTGTGCTGGGGACAGTGAACAAAGATGGATTTGCACATCCCATCTTGCTCACAGGTGCTCCAGGCAGGATCAGGGCATTCAGCAGAACAGCTCTAKCAAGTYTATGAGGCTATTCCCTATAAATCTYCTTAAATACTAAGAGGGCACAAGGCTAAGAACCTTCTCCCCTCAGGCTCAAGATAAGCCAGGAGACAGAAAACTTAACCAATCCTGGCAAATGCAAGTGAGCAGAGCCGTGCCAGGAAAAACAAGGCACGTTTGCCCTATGCCCATCCTTGGCTGATGTGTGAGGAGTCACCCAGCCCTTTCACGGTACTGATTAACTCGAGCCCTGTTTGTCTGTTCCAAGGTCACTTCCCAGCTGGCACCAGAACGGAGCACACTGGCAGTGGAGAGCTGCACCCACCACACGAGCCCGTGGGTTTGGCTCCCACCAGGAAGSTGCAGGAAGGATGAGGATGTCCTGGCTGTGTGTCCCTCCTCCTGCTTGGGTTTCACTGGTTTTAGACATCCAGYAATGAAAGATGCTTCAAAACACAGCAAAAAAAATCACAGAACGTCTTCTAACTACTGAGGTTGGAAAAGTCTTCTCAGAACATCGGGTCCATCTGTCCCCCAGCACTGGCAAGGCCACCACTGACACTTGTCCCCAAGTGCCACCTCCCCAAGGCTTTTAAATCCCTGCAGGGATGGAGACACCACCACAGCCCTGGGCAGCTGTGCCAGGGATGGACATGAAGGAATTGTTCCCAATATCCACCCTGAGCCTGCCCTGTCCCAGCCTGAGGCCGTTCCCTCTCCTCCTGTCCCTGTTCCCTGGAGCAAAACCCGACCCCCCCGGCTGCCCCCTCCTGTCAGGGAGTTGTGCAGAGCCACAAGGTCCCCCCGGAGCCTCCTTTGCTCCAGGCTGAGCCCCTTTCCCAGCTCCCTCAGCCACTCCTGGGGCTCCAGCCCCTTCCCCAGCTCCGTTCCCTGCCCTGGACAAGCACCAGCCCCTCCAGGGCTCTCTGGTCAGGAGGGGCCCAGGACTGAACGCCTGCAGTGTCCCAGAGAGCTCTCCTCGATAGGGAACTGCCACACTGAGCAGAARCCTCCTTCCTGCTCCTCAGCCCCCACGTGCTAATTCATTGAGAAATCCACATTCGTGCCCTGCCAACACTCTCTGATATTCACAGCCTCAGTTCTCAGAGACACCAGCTGGGGGATTCATGGAAWCCCAGATTGCTTTGGATTGAATGGACCTTAAAGCTCATCCAGTGCCACCCCCTGCCCTGGGCAGGGACATCTTCCACTATCCCAGGSTGCTCCAAGCCCCATCCARCCT